GGGGGGGGTTAACGCAACCGTGGGGCAAATGACACAAAGGTTTGCTTAAAATAGCAGGAGGTTGGAGACTCATCTCCAACACTCATTAAAAGAGCCTCTTTTTTTTTTTTGTAATTAGTTTCCATTAATTAGGGCCAATCAGGATCCAGCAGGGCAGTCGTCTAGGGAAATCATTTTTTTTAGGCTCCCCTGTGCCTAGGAACTCCTTTTAACAGATGTGTTTTCAAAACCATTTCAATTCTTCTGCTCACTACTTGTCTCAGCGCAAATGTGACCTTTGTTTGAGTGAGTAACACGGTGCACCCTCCCCCTCCTCCTCGCATTTGTGTCATAACTAGATTGGCTTTGCCTCAATCCCAAGCTATGAGCTTTCCTGGAGGCAGTAAAAGGAAATGTCAAGAAGCTTTTTTTTCCCCTCCCAGTAAGAAAAAAAAAAAGAACGAGGGAAAAGCCGACGCATATCTGCATCCCCTCCTTGCTGAAGACTCTGTAAATAAATCATCTTTTCCTGTGGCGGGTCTCATCACCGATGTCTTCACTTATGTTTTTCAGAGCACTTGGCCCAGAATATCTCCAAATCGCACATGGAGACATGTCAGTACCTGAGGGAGGAGCTGCAGCAGATGACCTGGCAAGCCTTCCTGCAGGAGGAGGTGGAGAGCTACCAGAGCAAGGTAGCTTGACCCCACGACCTCCTCTCGAGCGCTTTGCGCTAGTAAACGTGTCGCGTTAGAGCGGATAGCTAGCTCATTTCCATCTTGGTGTCTTCTCAGCCGCGGGAAGTCATGTGGCAGCTGTGCGCTATCAAAATAACAGAGGCCATTCAGTATGTGGTGGAGTTCGCCAAGCGCATCGATGGCTTCATGGAGCTGTGTCAGAATGATCAGATAGTGCTGCTCAAAGCAGGTATGACAGCCTGTCAACAGACACACACACACACACACACACACACACACACACACACACACACACACACACACACACACACACACACGTGTATAATACTGATGTTGTCACAAGGGCGTAGCTGACCTGACTGCACAAAGACTTCTTTGTGTGTGCATGCGGTGTCACCTGCGACTTTCCCATGCATGGACACATCACAAGATAAATGTTTACAATGTCAGATAACACCGCTCCATTTTTTTCTCTTTTACCTACAACCCCCCCGTTTCAAGATTTTGCTGCTGTAACTCCCGACATTCATGTGCAGAAATGCTGACGCTCTCACATTTTGTGACACACAACACGATATACCTCCAGGCCACATCATTTGGTACAAATGCATGATTAAAAAAGGAAAAAGTGACTCTTTGGTTCATACAGTAGCCCCACAAGGTTTTAGGTCACCGCATAACCTAGAAGCAAAAAGTGTCAAGCCAACAAAATTTAAATTGGATTGGATTTGGATTATTTCCTATGTGGGGGTCATATACCGAATTGGCGTTCGCAAAATCGAAATCTTATGAGATACAGTGGTACCTCAACGTAGGAGTCACCCGACTTTCGAGTTTTTCAGTGTGACAGCGAACTCAATTCACTTCACAAAACTCCATCAGTTGGCACATAGTGAACAATTTTTCAAAAAAGAGACTTCGTGGTTATTGCGACTCCCCCTTGACATGTAAAAATAAAGCAAAACAAAATCACACTTTGTGGATTTCAAACAATCACACAACTTTGCCTGAGGAAAGTCCGCTATCTCAATACTAATATACATTCCCATCCAAAACGTCATAAATGAGCTAACGAGTCGTGTCAAAAGACGCGGTGTTTTAACCCTTTAAGCAATTGATAGTTGAACATCAACGGTGTAGCAAGATAGGTAGACAGATAATACAGTACATCAATACATCAATACTGTACTCACAGGCATATATTTTTAATCCTCTGTGTAATACTCCTGGTGCAGTGGACCCACATATGTAAGTTTTTTTTATTTTCATGAGCCAACCCTTATTTTTCATGAAAAAGCCTTATTAGAGCTTCATCCCCATTCTTTTTCAATATTTTTGTGGTTAAAGGAAAAAACTTTTTGTTAAAAACGGGCGTGAATCAGACACAGATATTTGCTTTTCATGGGCTAGTCTGATCCCACATCCTCCGTGAATAGCGGTGGGCCACTATACAACTGAAGCTTATTGAGTCAGTTGTGAAACTCTTTTTCATGCGAGTCTGTATGTCTGTGTTATACTCCCCCCTCGTGGCCCTGGCACGCAAACCAGAAGGAGCACAACGTATGGCTGCAACGGATTAATGGCATTTGCATTCATTTCAATGGGGGAAGATGATTTGCGATACAAGTGTTTTGAATTACAAACAAATTTTCCTCATAAATCAAGGCATCTCTGTAAATGTACAGTGGGTGAAAAAAACATAAACAACAGCTTTTGAAATTTAGTCCATGACTTCAAAAACCATAGAGGCCCTTGAACCTCTTAATCCAGCTCTGTCAGGACCAGACAGAAAATGTATTTATTTTATTTATTTTTTTTTCATAAAGACTGAATTTTGCGAATACCCTTAAATGGGTGTCGGTGTCCCTAAAGTTGTGGCCCGTAATAGTAGAGTGTGTAAGGAGGTGCTTTTCATCCTCTCATGTCAGTATTAATAAAAAAACAAGTCACACAGTCGCACTACTAATGGTGGCTGTTGCATTTTCCTGATCTCGTTCTCCCCTCGCTCGGAGAGCTACAAATTACAGGGTAGACAGAATAATTCCCCGCTATCTTGTTCAATAAAGGTTGAATGAATAAGCGCTATTGCCACTAAATGAAGCACAATCGTTATCTGGCTCGTCATTATGCATGACTAGCCTTATGTCTGATATTATCATATAATGCGGAGGTGCTTTTTATTCTCAACCCCCCTCCCCCCGCCACTGACAGCTGGCTTCTTTATTTCTTTGTTTCAAAGCGTGTCTGTTGCTCATATTGCAAAAGGCACGGCGCCTAGCGTAAGCACGTGTTTTGCCTCGCTGACTGATGTCTTACTGTTAAAGAGTGCGGCTGATGGGGGGGGAGGAACAACACAGCGATTCAGCATGTTGTTGCCGTCTGTCTCCACAGGCTCTTTGGAAGTTGTGTTTGTCAGAATGTGTCGTGCCTTTGACTCGCAAAACAACACGGTCTATTTTGACGGGAAGTACGCCGGGCCAGATGTGTTCAAGTCATTAGGTAAGTGGACACTTTACAGCAGCGCCCAGTGCGCATGTGCTTTTGTGTTACCCCATATGTGTGTGTGCGTGTGTGTGCGTGTGTGGCTGTGAACGTCTCACTCCTTTTCCCTTGATGTACCAGCCAAAATTAGAATCTCCTAATCTGCTCCACACAATACTGAAGGCCTTGAAGCGAACACTGGGCGTTCATCCCTGCTTTACCTGGCACCGCCCGTCTCTGCGGCGCTTCTTTATGCCAGGAGCGAGATGATAGCGAGGCACGCTTGCATCTGACTCCTGTAACTGTGGAATAAATACAGCCAGACAGAGTGCCTTTTGGGAGAAAGCTATCAAAACCATCACCGGTAGGCTGACATAAAGAATCTCAGATAGCTCAAATAGCATTTTTGTTTAGCTGTCATGACATCACTGAGCCTTCCACTCAGGATTTTCCAACACTTCCAGTTGGGGTTTTTTCAAGGCAAAAAATGCAAATGAGTCCCATAGTGTTTGCAGACATGTTGAATTGTCCAGCGACAGATAGAGAGAGAGAGAGAAATTTTGTTGTTACAATCCACTATATGTGCGTTCTAATTAATCGCTCAGTATTTCGTAATTAATCACGATTAATCATATTTTTCTACTTTTATTTTTTGCAAAGCTTGCGACAGATATTTACTAGAGTAAAGAAAAAAAAAATAGGATTAGCCCCTTCATGCACCCCGTAACCTGATCACATGATAAGCTGTCCATTGTAGTAACCGCTGTCCCTAAAAGGGTTCAAGTACAAGAATCAAAGGATATTTCGATTCAAAGACTGTTCCAATAACTTTTGGTGATGCTTGAATAAAACTCTTCTCCTGTAAAATACAAAAAAAAAAAAAGTTCAACCCTGACTCAGCTTTACAAGCATCTTTCTAATAGTCTTCTCACAGAAACAATTCTCAAAACTTCTCGCATATAGGTTTCGTTCAGCCCACGAGAACCACACTTATTAATAGGGTTGCTCATCCCACCAAATAAAAGAGAATTTGATCCATGGGATCAGTGCAAAAAATTAATTTTGTGGGATCCTGATTCATTTCGATATGCTAGGGCTGTATTTTGTCCCGTAAATGAGTCCGGGAGTCTCTTTTGGGCGAGGCCGAGAGGAGTGACGGGCCTCCCGAGTCGCATTGGCATTCGGCCCCCTATGCCACATAATTGATTTAACTAAACGGCTCGGTAGTGACCTAATTTTGCCTCGCATAACGCCACCCGAGTGCCAAAACTCAGTAAAAGCGGTGCCTGTTCTGCTTAAGACGCTCCCATGCGCTGTCAGCGTGCAGCTCTGTTCGTCTTTCTGTTTTTCCTCCTCTTCCCCTTCCTCTCCCCCTCCCTGCGTGCCTCTCTCCCAATAAAGATCAAGAGTGAATGTTGTTCTTTGGTCTCCCTCATCCTAAGCTCTCTCACTCTGTCCTTTGCTGTGGCAGGCTGTGACGACTTGATCAGCTCCGTCTTCGAGTTTGGGAAAAACTTGTGTTCCATGCACCTGTCTGAGGATGAGATCGCCCTGTTCTCCGCCTTTGTGTTGATGTCTGCTGGTAGGTGTCAGTCACCGTGCAAAAAGGGGAAAACACGCCTGCCCCGAATTTGCCGTGACAAGGAACAAATGTGCCCCCCCGCCCGTTTCTTGAACAGTTTCATCGCTAAAATTATCACTCCCAATTGACTTTTCCCATGACTGCACAGAGATCGCTGACTAACGCCGGATGATGATTTTATCTCGCAGATCGATCCTGGCTCCAAGAGAAGGTGAAGGTGGAGAAACTTCAGCAGAAGATCCAGTTGGCTCTCCAGCACGTCCTGCAGAAGAACCACAGAGAGGACGGAATTCTTACAAAGGTATCCTGACTCCGTGTACACTCAGTGTGAAATGTTTCCAAAACGTCTCCAAAATATTAGCTACGCTTGCGCAATCTTAATGAGAGCCAGTTGTGTACATGAGCTGTTCAAAAGTTCTACCTTGAAAATGTAGTCATGCTTCCTCGGGTTTGACACTGACATGACATGAGATTTATCATTTTAACAATATTTGCAAAATTAATTGGTTCTGGAAGAAATTTCTTAACCAGAAAATTTTGGAAGGAGAGACGCGTTTTCCATGTAAATGCCCTATCCGTTCCAAGCCCCCCAAAATTCAGACGCAAATGTTTGATAAAGCATAAAAATTAATCAAAATATGTCACAAATACATGTTACGATTAGATGATTGCACAATAAATGAGAGTTGTGCACAATTAAAAAAAAAACAAAGAATAGAGTATAGAAGAAAAATGATGGTCATTTAACTTTTAACTGTCCTCATCGTTTTTTTCCCTCTTTCGTCCATGTTCTCTCTCAGAAGTGGGTTCAAGAAACTATGACGTGACAAAAGTTAATCAATAGTTTCATTTGAGCTGAATTTGATTTTTTCATTGCGCACATACTGGATGAACAATTCCCGAATCTCGCGACACTCTACTTGGAAACGCCACTTAATTCGCCAAATATACCTCGCCCGATAAACACTTCTCGGGGGACTTTTTCACGATGGCACACAAAATGCATTATTTTTTTATTGAAACAGAAGTGGCGCCTTATCAATCGTAGTGTCAGACTTCCTCACGCCTGAGCGCCTGTCTCAATATTTACACGTCAAGTTTGCCCCCATGCGGGAGTGAAAACACAGTGAGGGAAAGGGAAGGGTGTGGGGGGATGGGAGGGATGCATTCCGGCACCGTTGCTCGATGTCCTCCTGGTTTTGCTGTGAATCTAAACAGCTTGTCTCTTCTCTGTCTCTTCCCCACAGTTGATATGCAAAGTTTCGACACTGCGGGCGCTGTGCAGTAGGCATACAGAAAAGCTTACGGCTTTCAAAGCAATATACCCAGACATTGTGCGTGCCCACTTCCCCCCCTTATATAAGGAGCTGTTTGGATCAGACTTTGAGCAGTCCATGCCCGTTGACGGGTAGCGTCCCTGCCAGGTGCCAGAGCGCCCACCGTAGGGGAATGTGGAGGAGGAATCTGAGACACTTTATATTGGTGCCCCCGCACAAACCGGGAGTGGACAAGACAGCAAGCTGCTCAACATCTTCTCTTTTATTCAAGAGGAGGGCTGGTGGAGTTGCTTCTCAAGGTTTACTTCAGCGGTTCTCATTGGAAGACTTGGGGGGGACAAAAACCCCGTCCAACAAACAATTTCTGCCCGTTTGAACTTGACCATCTTTTGCGCATTTCGAAATGAAACTCATGACGGATGTCAATCATGCGTTCGTTCGCCGGGATTGACTTTTAACTATATTCTGACGTATCTGACTTGAAATTATATCAATCAACCTTTTTGCTGTTCAAATTTTTCATCAGGCACTGAAACCTGCAATAAATGTTTCTCCTCAGAGCAGTTGCAGACATTCAAAAGTGAAATGCGCACATTTTGGTCACGTTCTGCTCTATCTTTTCCCTTTTTTTTTTGGTCTTTTCTCGTATTCAGTCGTATTTTTTGGGACGCATTGCTTGGGACGCCAACTCACAGCAACTCGGAGGGAGGCTCTGTCGGCATACGTTGATGCAATCGGCACCTCTCTGTGGACAATCGTTTGAAGATCTGGGGATAAAAAAAAAAAAAAGAGAGGAAAAAAAAACAGAATTCTGGTAATTCTACTGAGATGATTTTAGCTGTCAAAAACCTCCATCCGCCATTGTTGCATAGTGAAATCATGTAAGGCCATCTGCTATTAATCCTTCTCTGGACAGGTGCCCTCTGAGAAGCACGGGGCACCAACACAATGAAAAGGCTCCATTCCACCTGTTTTATAATGTACTACAGGGTATATGGTCATAAGTACTTACTATACAGAAAAAAAAAAGTAATGTTTATAGAATCTATTTTAAATAACATGTATGATATTCGTAGTTAGACGATTCTTAATTGTTCAATTGATAAGGCACTTTTCTTTACACCTTTGTTTTAATTTAAGACTTGTATATTTACCTAGTGATGTGTTGCATGTGCACAAGAAGAAAATAACTTTTAACTGTCCTCATCGTTTTTTTCCCTCTTTCGTCCATGTTCTCTCTCAGAAGTGGGTTCAAGAAACTATGACGTGACAAAAGTTAATCAATAGTTTCATTTGAGCTGAATTTGATTTTTTCATTGCGCACATACTGGATGAACAATTCCCGAATCTCGCGACACTCTACTTGGAAACGCCACTTAATTCGCCAAATATACCTCGCCCGATAAACACTTCTCGGGGGACTTTTTCACGATGGCACACAAAATGCATTATTTTTTTATTGAAACAGAAGTGGCGCCTTATCAATCGTAGTGTCAGACTTCCTCACGCCTGAGCGCCTGTCTCAATATTTACACGTCAAGTTTGCCCCCATGCGGGAGTGAAAACACAGTGAGGGAAAGGGAAGGGTGTGGGGGGATGGGAGGGATGCATTCCGGCACCGTTGCTCGATGTCCTCCTGGTTTTGCTGTGAATCTAAACAGCTTGTCTCTTCTCTGTCTCTTCCCCACAGTTGATATGCAAAGTTTCGACACTGCGGGCGCTGTGCAGTAGGCATACAGAAAAGCTTACGGCTTTCAAAGCAATATACCCAGACATTGTGCGTGCCCACTTCCCCCCCTTATATAAGGAGCTGTTTGGATCAGACTTTGAGCAGTCCATGCCCGTTGACGGGTAGCGTCCCTGCCAGGTGCCAGAGCGCCCACCGTAGGGGAATGTGGAGGAGGAATCTGAGACACTTTATATTGGTGCCCCCGCACAAACCGGGAGTGGACAAGACAGCAAGCTGCTCAACATCTTCTCTTTTATTCAAGAGGAGGGCTGGTGGAGTTGCTTCTCAAGGTTTACTTCAGCGGTTCTCATTGGAAGACTTGGGGGGGACAAAAACCCCGTCCAACAAACAATTTCTGCCCGTTTGAACTTGACCATCTTTTGCGCATTTCGAAATGAAACTCATGACGGATGTCAATCATGCGTTCGTTCGCCGGGATTGACTTTTAACTATATTCTGACGTATCTGACTTGAAATTATATCAATCAACCTTTTTGCTGTTCAAATTTTTCATCAGGCACTGAAACCTGCAATAAATGTTTCTCCTCAGAGCAGTTGCAGACATTCAAAAGTGAAATGCGCACATTTTGGTCACGTTCTGCTCTATCTTTTCCCTTTTTTTTTTGGTCTTTTCTCGTATTCAGTCGTATTTTTTGGGACGCATTGCTTGGGACGCCAACTCACAGCAACTCGGAGGGAGGCTCTGTCGGCATACGTTGATGCAATCGGCACCTCTCTGTGGACAATCGTTTGAAGATCTGCTTTTTTTTTTGGTCTTTTCTCGTATTCAGTCGTATTTTTTGGGACGCATTGCTTGGGACGCCAACTCACAGCAACTCGGAGGGAGGCTCTGTCGGCATACGTTGATGCAATCGGCACCTCTCTGTGGACAATCGTTTGAAGATCTGGGGATAAAAAAAAAAAAAAGAGAGGAAAAAAAACAGAATTCTGGTAATTCTACTGAGATGATTTTAGCTGTCAAAAACCTCCATCCGCCATTGTTGCATAGTGAAATCATGTAAGGCCATCTGCTATTAATCCTTCTCTGGACAGGTGCCCTCTGAGAAGCACGGGGCACCAACACAATGAAAAGGCTCCATTCCACCTGTTTTATAATGTACTACAGGGTATATGGTCATAAGTACTTACTATACAGAAAAAAAAAAGTAATGTTTATAGAATCTATTTTAAATAACATGTATGATATTCGTAGTTAGACGATTCTTAATTGTTCAATTGATAAGGCACTTTTCTTTACACCTTTGTTTTAATTTAAGACTTGTATATTTACCTAGTGATGTGTTGCATGTGCACAAGAAGAAAATACAAGTTGAACCACGGCCGCGGAGGCTAGTCCTGAGAGCTGGAGATGGTCATGTATGCGGAGGCGGGGCGGGGCGGCTCGGCGTTGCTGCTTTGGCCACGAGAAGGCGGATGAGAGGCATTCCAACCTCACTTGATAAACGATCTGCTCACGTCATTGATTTGTTGGATAATCAAATCTTCGATGGGCACAATCGCTGACATGAAACAACACCGACACAATGAGACTCAAATTTATTATTCATTCTGTCTTGCTCACGATAACGCTCAGTTTTGATCGGTACCGTCGCGAGAGTGTTTATTGTTGCGTTTGCCGGTTGCGTTGAAATCATATCGTGACTTCTTCCTAATCTTGTGCCGCTCAGAGGGTTCACCATAATAGGAGGCACACCTGTAAGTTTATTGCAGCACAGTTATAAACAATTCAAGATTTTTTTTTTTTATGAATCAAGTGCCACTCTTGTTCGACACTGCTGCAAATTAGAACCACCAAAAATGAGGGTATTTTTTTGAAATGATTTTCTCCACCAAAATATTAGGCACACCTGTAAGTTTATTACAGCGCAGTTATAAACAATTCAAAAAAATTTTTTTATGAATCAAGTGCCACTCTTGTTCGACACTGCTGCAAATTAGAACCACCAATTTTTTTTTTTTTTTTAATTTTCTCCACCAAAATGTTTATTTTTTTGAAATGATTTTCTCCACCAAAATATTAACCACAACTGTAAGTTTATTGCAGCGCAGTTATAAACAATTGAAGAATTTTTTTATGAATCAAGTGCTACTTTGTTGTTCGACACCGCTGCAAATTAGAACCACCAAAAATTAGGGTATTTTTAAAATGATTTTCTTGGTCAATCAAAACTGAGCGTTTTTCTGAATTCTGTCTGGATCACTTTCAAATGCAGGTCACATGACTTACAATCTCAAAGATCAGCTTTGATAAAATCTACAGTCCACAAATATTACTTGCGGTTATTCATACTCTGGCCAAATCGGAGAGTTAAAGGTTCCAGATTATCGCAGTTCCTTAAAATTGTCCAGTGAGATCAGCGATATGAGTCATTTCAATTGTCAAAACGATACCCCTTCATATAGAATTTCACATAATTTGGCCAGGATATGATTCATTGGAGGATTTGCATTTCTACTTTTCTCTATGAAGGCAGTATTTTGACAACTCCTCATTTAGCAGGTGCACCAAATTTTCTGTCCGGTATTGATTTGCAAACCAAGCCAAGTGATCCCTGACTGCAATCCAATTGTTCCATCTAGTGGAAGGCAAAGATACAGCAAGCAACAAAACTGCCTAAGTCGTGACATAAAAGCAAACCTCATTGAAATGTTTTTTTCTTGCCGTTTCCGGAGTGGCTTTATCTGCCTTCTCAAGCCAACAACGCAGAAGAAACAATGAAGGGAAAGTGAATATTCAAAGCCTTGTCTGGTCGTAAAGCTTCTATTTTTGTAACACGGTTTTTTTTGGGGGGGGGGGGTGTTAATGAACTCCAGAAAGAGTGGTAAGGGGAGAGAGAAGGGGGGGTAAAGATGTCAGATAGCACTTAAGTATATTCCTGCAATAATTAGTCGAGCACTTGTTTGTACAATTAGGGAAGAGAAGCATAAAACGCTAGGACAAGTGCTATTTTCAGAATGCTTTGTTGTTGTGCTTTTGTTTTTGTTGAGTGTGTCTTTCTCGTTGGTGTGGTTGTAAAGTGATAGAACACACACACACACAAAAAACAAAAACCTGAATGTGCCAAAAGAGTAGTCTGCTTTCTGGTCTGTCATGCAGAACGGACTCCGAAAACATTCCAGCAAATTCTGTAGCGACTTCAAGGAAGAACTTTATTTTTAAAGGCAACATTTAAAAAAAATAAAATTTAAAAAAAAAAATAGAAAAAGTCATTGAAAAAGACAAAAAAAGATATCCCTTTAGAAGCATGCCAACACTGTCACCAACCATGACATTGAATCCCCTTTTGATTTGCTGCTTGCACACCGTCATTCCTCTGCCGTGCAATGTGCGCAAGGTGTTAACTACTGCCTTGTGCTGTCACCCCTCAGGGAAGAGTTTGTTTTTGCGCTTTTTTTAGTTTTGGTTTGTTTGTTGCATTATTGTTTGTGTTAGGGCTGAACGATTTTGAAAAACAAAAAAATCTAATTGCAATCCCCCCCCCAAAAAAAAAAAATTGCGATTGTCATTTACCTACCCCCCGCCCCAAAAAAAAAATTGTCATTGTCATTTAAAATGCAATTATCAGATTGATTATAACAAATGTTTTGCTTTTATAGGTTAGTCTTACGCTAATACAAAGGCAAATGTACCAATTAGTATGACTGACAATTTATTTATTGGTATTTATATACCGTATTTTCCGCACTATAAGGCGCTTTGGAATATAAGGCACACCTTCAATGAATGGCCTATTTTAAAACTGTTTTCATATATAGGGTACATCACATTATAAGGGGCACAGAATAGAAGCTACAATAGCGGCTGCAGTTGCATTATGAATCCACTAGATGGAGATACGCTTATGGGAATACAATACGATACAGCTTAATTTCTATGGAGCTTTCACAACCACTGCAGCTGTAACAAAGCGCTTTACAGAACATTTAAAATTCTATGTCCAAGAATTCAGAATATTGATCTATCTATAAGGCGCATCGGATTATAAAGCGCACTGTCGGCTTTTGAGAAAATGGAATGCTTTTCGGTGCGCCTTATAATGCGGAAAATTCGGTAGTTGTTATTTACAAATTTCTACCAAGCAAGTGTTGAATAAACATAAGTCAGTCATAGGTTAGTTTACAACAATAAAGAAAACAAATCAGTTATTAACTACTATATAAATGGAGAGAGAGCAAAAGAGCCGACCGACTTGACTGAAACAAACAATCCCCCGCCCCCTAAAAAAAAATGCAGCCTTTGCGATTTGAAGATCGCATTCCTCAAAATTGCGATGTCGATTTTAATTCGATGAATTGTTCAGCCCTAGTTTGTGTTCAGGGATGCTCCACTGCGAATGCTTGAGATTAACGTGTGAATATACATCACTTGAGTTCTTGTGGGGTGGGGGGCACTCACCAACCACTGCGCCCCTGAGGTCAAGCTATTGCCAACACACACACAAAAAAAGGAAATATCACAAAACCATCCCCCCACCCCTCCAAAAAACAAACAAACAAACAAAAAATCACAGTCTTATCAGTACTTCTAAACAACTAAATCTGTTTTCGATAAAGGTGTCATCAGGGTCCCTCTTTGTTAGCAAAACCAAATATTCTTATGCAATACTGAATCTGTTTGGGTTGTAGTGTTTATAATGTACCGAAGTAATAATCTCTGTTCTGATGCACAAAAGCCCTGTACCACGAGTAAAACCTCAGTCTCCCAGCAGAACAAACTTTCCAGTCTGGAAACGTGTTAGACAATCCAGGAAGGAGAGGCCCGGCCGAGAGAATGAGGTGTGTCCGCTCAGGGAGGAGACAGCTACACACACACACACACACACACACACACACACACACACACACACACACACACACACACACACACACACACACACACACGAAGAGGTGGATTTTTCCTAATATTATTTATTCTATTTCCTTAAACTGCAGGAATCTTGCTCGACATGGAAAAAAAAAACCTAAAAGGAGAGTGTGTTTGATTTTTTTTTTTTTAATATGTCCTACAGTATAAAACAAGCAATATGGCCTTGTTGTGTAATTACGGGTTTGACGGACTTGATTCCAAAAGGGTTCCAAGTAATAAATCCGCCATTGTTGTGCGCTTGTCGGCAACCAGACGCATGAGTGTCCGACTATGGAGCTGTACAGTGGCGTCTTTTCTGTACATTCACACTTTAATGACGCGAGGGATCGATGTGTGTGCTATTCAATCAGTGTATAGTAAACTGGTCCTCCTGTCTCTGCTCTCTTGTGTCTTTGTAAAAAGCAATAGTTTGTGCGTATGTGCGTGCGTGTTTTGTTGTCAATGTGATTAAATAAACGAGAAAAAAAAAAAAGAACCCAGACAAGGCTTTAATAATTACAAAGGAACAGGGTCATGTGGATGAGAAGGTGTTGATATATATATATATATATATATATATATATATATATATAATTTTAATTTTTTTTTTTTGAAAATGCTGAGCTCAATCCATCCTCAGTAGGTAGCAGTTTAAAAGTGTGACATAACGTCTTCAACAATGCAACTGGACTTATTAAGCCTGTTGTAAGACACGTATTGTCGTGCTTATGTTAATCATTTTTTTCAATCTATTTATTTGTATTCAATTTTGGCTGGAGGATATCACATTGTTTTAGCCCTGGAATGAGTATGAGTTACCAAATATGGTTCCGCGACCTATACAGCGCGACACTGACTGACAAAATGAGCGCTACCGCCGATAAATTGTGAAAATGTTCTGTCACGCTTCAAGTTTGGCCGTTGTGTTTTTAACAACAACAAAAAAAAGTGTCATTTTTTTTCCAAAGCACAGCTGACGATGATTCAAAGTAGGAATATAGTTTTGAAGCAAAACAAACAAACAAAAAAAAGCAACGTTTAGCCATAATTGAATGTCAAGCAATAATATATGTCTTTGTGTATAATTTGGGGATTTTTCTTTTTTGTTTCTGTGCATATTAGTCTTTGAGCATCTGCATGTAAATACACCTCTTATTTATCATGTTTGGGTTGTATTTTATTTTATTTTTTTATTTTATTTTTTTGTTGAAGTTGCATCTGGATATTTGACCAGGTGGACAACCAAGAACTTGACATGGCCTGTAAAGTGGATTCTCTCACTATTGCTCGCTCTCATCCTCTGCTGTTCACTCACCGTATTTAAGATGACTGATCACGTGTACAAAGGTAGCTTCTGTCTGTATAGGTAAGAGGAGAAAAAAAAACTGCTACTAAGGCCTACCCGATGAGAATATTTATGTGTTAATCAGCGACGCCATATTGTATCGATAATTCTAGTTTGCTTCCCTCATTTAGTTTGTATTAGGGTGTGCTGATTTATTTTGTGTGGTGCTCGGTACGTTTGTGAACAAATTATTGATGACTAAGCCTGGCCACCCTATTCGTTAATTCATTTCACTGCATTCAGTATTAATCTTGATATTAGAAATCGATTAATGATAATGAAAGTGATAGCGGTAAGAAAAAAAAAAATACCCAGTCGGTACCTGTATCAGTGTGCTCGTTTTGGGGTAACGGAGACAATCTCAAATGTTTCATGTAAAAAATAAAATAAAAAAAAAAAAAAGCTCAATGTCCGAAAACCTTGATCGTTCGCAATCAAAATTCATGTGCACGTCTCTACTCATGCCCACTTCAACCTCTGAAGTTATGAGAAAGACCGTCCCAATATTTTGGGTTTTACGAACATTAAACCTTCTCTGAAAACTATGACCAAGCATCAGCAAAATGTCGGTCCACATCTCCACGTCCAACTCTGAAAATGTTTAAATGTTCGCCCCAAGATTTGGGATTTTAATCGACCTGAAGTATAGATGGCAAGATGCCAACTGGCTAGCATGTCCGCCTCACAGTGCAGCGGTCCAGGGTTCGAATCTGGGCTCTGGCCTTCCGGTGGAGTTTGCATGTTTCCCCCCGTGCCTGCGTGGGTTTTCTCCGGGTACTCAGATTGGCTTCTACATTCCCAAAACATGCAAGATATGTTATTTGAAGACAATTCACGAGTGTAGCCCTCCTACTGCCCCAAATCAGCTGGGATAGTCTCCACCATCGTGAGGATAAGCGGTTTGGATAATGGTTGGAAGGATGCTTGGGTGTTAAGTGTTTTTCTCTCCTTCGAAATATCTTAACGTCACTTGATGTGAGAAAACGTGGGCATGAGTAGATATGTGCACATACATTTTGGTGATGATTGGTTGCAGTTTTCTGACACTACGTGACATTAAGCTTTTTAATCCTTACATTAAGCATTTTAGACTGCCCCAAACAAGACATTTAGTTTCTGTAGCTAGTATCTTCTAAGTAACAAGCAATTTAGGAATGTTAAAAAAGGTGTTAAAACCAATGCAGCAGTGTTTTATTTCTATTTTTCCGATTATACGTTTTAAATTAAGCAACAAGAACACTTGGAGGCTGTAGTTTGTCGAGTATTTACCTCACCGGTATCTGCATAGATCCTCACATGATGCAGGGAAGTGGTGCTGTGATCAGGCAGTTTGCTTTTTGTTTCTTTGCCCATTCAGAAGGAAAAAGAGTGTACATGGAAGGCCATTGGGGGACTGCATTTCCTTTCCACTGTAGCAAATACGAATATGCTGGCAATAATACACGGTGTATCACACTGAGTGCCTCTCGGTGTAGCAAAAGTGCATAAGTGATTTTGATTGTTCTTTTTTGGGGGGCGGGGCTTACAAGGTCTGTATAATGAAGTGTGTTTTATTCAGTTCTAACATTCACAATTGGTTTTTTTTTTTATTTGTTTGTTTTTTTTTGTGTGTGAAACATTTTCATGCAGTGTTAAAGGATTTCAATGTACAGACTCATTGCTCTCACCTTGTTTGAGGGGCAAATAAATGCTCATTTTACACACAGGTTACCTGGTGGGGGTGGGGGGGGGAGAAAAGTCAGTCCACGTTTTTTGGTTTTCTAGGATTTTTAACACTTAATTCATTGTGTGTTCAGAATTCCGTACATCGGGGTTCTTTTCGTGTTGTGTGTTCCATGTCGGTCGTGAAGGTTGAAGCAGAGGTGGAGTCTTTCTTTTCCCAAGCAAGAGCAACGCAAAATGAGGGGAAGCTCAAATCAGTCACATGTTTGCTACTGATGTTAAATTGGGGGCCAGATGCTCATGTACCTTTTGAATCCAGCTCTTTTGAACTCTCTTTAGCAGGTAGTCACTTCACAAACGTAGTTTTGCTCCTTCTTGTCTGATGATTCTGAAATATGAAAATAAGTATTTTGATTCATTTTGTAAATACGTCTGTAAAGAAAAATAAGAAATTTAATGTTGTCTTTTAAATACTTTTCATTCTAATATGAATGTTGTTATATTGTACTTAGAAACTGTACCTTTAATATTACCTTTATTAAAAGTGCATTGGACACATCGGTTTTAGATGTGCTTTATGTGCTGTTATCCCATAATAAAATTTACCGCTTGTAATGGGCTTTTCTTTTTTCGCTGTTTTCTTGTCTTGTTGGTTCATCCGTTTTACACATTAAATTAGCGGCATAAAGTCATTTTTAGATGTTACAGATGCAAGATGTAAGTTCTTCCGTAATATATTCGTTTTCAAACAGATTTAACTATAATAAAATGTGTGTTTAGTTTGAGGCAATATCATCACAATTTCAGTACATGTACTTTTTTGGGGGGGGTGATGTTTTCATTCGGTGGTGTGCCGTGAGTTTTCGGTAATGTACAATATGTGATTGGATCAGGAAAGTTTGGGAAAAACTACATTAAGTAGCTATACGAGGTACTTATCCATTTCATACAAACTCAATATCGAATGCAGGCCAATTTGGTCAGGATCCGCAGGAGGGCAGCACTGTGCAAAGAGCGATAAACGTCGACATTGTTTCCTTAGTAGAACGAGAATCACACGGCGTGTTTGCTAACTGGTTAGCCGCCTTCATGTGCTCTTACAGTCACAGTAATGGAACTGGTGTGGTGAGTCAATATTAAAATCATATTTCGTAGAAGGAAATACTGCAACTTGATGTGCTATTCGTCATCATATCTGACAAATACGCCGTACCTTGGTAACGGTGCGTATGAGCTCAGAAGCTCGGAGCCGTTACCTGAGAATGTAACGTAATGTACTCCGTACAGAAGTAATTTAGTTTTGCAATCAATTGGTATCACCTAAAATGGCTGTTATTGTGCTCATGTTAACTGTGTTTGCTTGGTGCTGAATGTACAGATCTGACAATATCCGAATCGATCATTCTGTTTCGCGATACGTATCTAAAAGGTGGGTAGAGTAGTCATAAATTTTACTCAAGTAAAATTACTTTAACATTAGAATATTTGACTCTCAACGTTGCTCCTTGCGTCTCCGTGTGTACGGCACATATGCAAACTTCCTTGCAATGATGCCACCCCCCCCCCCCAAAGAATAAGATAAGATAAAAGAAATGTAGTGGGCACGCAGTCATGATGCAAATCCCCATTTATTGTTTTTAGTTATACTTTGTTATTCATCTCAATGTCAACCTATATGAAAATCGCAAAAATTTTAATACACATTCCTTTTAAGGGAGGACCCTCCTGTGCCCGATGCTCCCTTCTTCACCAAAGATGTTTACGATCAATATTCCCTCGCACCCAGTAGTAGAGAACTGTGGGCTTCTCTACAAAGGTATGCTAATGATTGAACTAATGATCTCAATTCTGTCAACTTATTTATTTGGCTACCAAAGTATTTTGACACTGACACTGAGTTTTATAGCGGACAGAATGCTGCTTGCCGGTTTATTTATTTATTTAAAATCGATACGACGTCGTCTGCAATTTCTATTGATATTGCTCATATGTCTATTGCAATATTTACTGATATTGAATTACTACCCAGCCTTACTAACAAGCATGCTTTTAGAGTTTTGGAGGAAGACGGATGGAGTACACAGAGAAAAACAGGCAGGCCTGAGCCTGATTTTAGCCCAATAAATATTCACCTGTTGTTTTTAAGGGCTGAAATACTTGAATGTCCTTTTCTGTGAAACCTCTTCATTAAATCCGAACGCCTACACTTCGGTCACATCTTGATTGTTTTTTTGCAGTCCGTTGTGGTGCAAGAAAGACAACATTTGAAACCCTTAATCGCAGTCCAAAATACTTGCCTGTTCACGCGCTCTTGAAAAAAAATCGAATGAGTGTTAATTACCGTTACTTCTGTTTTTCCTCTCTACACAAGTCCTGCAGACACTGGCAGGACACAACTCGAGTGTGGTGCTCAGTCCGGACAAAAGTCTACTACCAAAAAAGTTGCACGGCTGCACGATAGCCGCAGCAAAGATGACTGCGACACCGCGGACGTAGACATGGCCGCGGAGGCTCCAGAGGGATGTCAAAATCCCCCCAAAGCATACGTGGAAGATGATGGCTTTCCTCAACCCAGACTGCCCTTCCCATGCGTGTCCGGCCTGGCCAGCAATGAGCAGAGGGCATATCTTAACTTTTTGTGTAGTAAGAATCTCAGGGTTCCTCCCCAGGTAACGTTAATCTCCTTTTAAAAGTAATTGTCATCAGGCAAATCCTTGTTGCATTCCTTCACTTGAATGTTATGCTCACATTTCAGCACCTGAAAGCCCGAGTCGACCAAGAAGTGATGCAATTTCAGAGGTACTTGCAAGATGTGGCCAAAGTGTGCGCAGGCGACTACAGTTTCATATCCCAGGGAGCACTGCAATATGCCGAGGTACACGCACGATGCCGTTTTTGCGTTCTGTGTTTCATGATGTTAACCGAAAATGATTCCGTCCTCAGGATTATTTGAGGGCACGTTTGGAGTGTATCCAAACATTACCTCAGCTCTATCAGATATGCGAGATGACCAGTTTGACCGGCGGAACCTTCAACCCGGCACTGTCTCTCACCTTGGAAAAACAGCTCGTTGTCATGGTAATGTCTTTTCACCGAGGCTTGATCCAGCCACTTTTGGAGCCGGCCGGTATAATGCGGTTCCTCCGCTGTGGTTTAACTTCAACTTGAATCGGTTGAATTGCAAAAAACTGCTCCTTTTATGTTGGTTCATTTTCTTTATTTCCGTATTTGGACCCTTTTTATCTCCCCAGGGCAGTGTGGATATCACGAGCTGCGCGATAATGGCTGCTGATGCACAGCTTGCAACGGATTATCAGAGTGTTTCATCAGAAAATCCTCCAGCCAAAAAAGCTAAGGACATGCACGCTGTAAGCAATTGTTTCACTTTTTTTTTTTTTTTTTTAATTACTTCTGTAAAGTAAGTCGCAAAGATTCTTTTTGTGACTGCTCGAGCGGGGGATTCATGACCGTGGGTCTTTTGCGACTTCGTTTTGGCTGTGGCAGTTTTCACAAAAGACACCAGGGGGTGTCCAAGTATTCTTCACGCCGCTGTTCTTGTGTCGCTCTGCAGGCAATCAGCAGCGATAACAATGCCGAGAAGCTGTGCGAGCGCTACGAGCCTCACGTGTGTCTCACCCGAGAGGCCCTGGTCACACTGTTGGACAACCACGGTCCTGACTTTGCTCAGAGATGGGAACTTCCTGTTTGCATTAAAGTGAATCGTGGCAAAGGTGTGCAGCACTGTCATTTTGACATTTGGGGTTGAAATTGTCAGGGCGCGAGGGGCCCACGGTTTGCAATGTGGTGTCATTCCGTAACCTGAAATTCAGAATGCACCTTTAGTCTAGCTCTAACGAAGCTAATGTAGTTGAAAAGGCATAATTGTGGGAAGGCCGAAAGACTGACGATTCCTGACATGCATTCAGTATTGGACATTTACACATATTTGCTATTTGAAATTGAAATCATTTAGCTCATTCAGTTCACCACGGGAACGAATTTTAACCAAAAATTCCCACTGACCAACTATTTAGTGCTTTCATCACGCGCACAAAATATTCCCCATTTACTCCTAATGACACTTTCAACAAAGCAGATTCATATCGCCAACATTTGAAATTCAAAACACGCCAAAAATTCTGCAACATTTTCTGAAATAGACATTTAAAAATCAAAAAAAAAAAGTCAGCTCATTCACATTGCAAGTGATCTTCAACCTGCCAAATTTGTTGTGCCCGACAAAACAAATTGCGCATTTGTCAAAACAGTCATGACATCCAATCTCAATATCACATCTATCTACAAAAGGCTACTCACACTTATTTGTTTGCTCACGAAAGCAACCAAAAAAAAAAAGAACTACAGCAAATATAATCATTTTAAAATACTCATCTTTTGTTGTTCATTATATATTGGATTACAATTATCGTGTCATGGCTCATGATTACAATCTGTCAAAAAGTCCGTTGTCACTTGCAACTCTACCCACAGGTGTGACTCCGAAGAAGACTGTTTACATCGAATCCCCCGTGCTCGACAATGAAATAACGGTGAGACAAAAGAGTCTCATCTACCACGAGGAGAGTTTGAAGCTGTCCTTTACAAAGAAAGGAAAAAGAAACGTTTGCCATTTAATGACGGAACTTCCTGTGGACGATCGGGAACCCTCGCTGGTATCTGGCACTAACACGGATCACGTTTTATTAGTACACATCTTTTTTTTTTTTCTTATCGTTGACACCTCCTTAACTTGTTTCCAAACCAGGAGGGCTCCCAAAGAAACATGATCCCCCTCGCCAGCGACGATCTCGACTTTGGGGTGGACCTCACCGACCTGGAGACTTTTGGAGAGGCACCAAACACAAAAGTGCAGAAGATGCAAAACGAGCCACTGAAACGTGTTCAAAGTACGAGTTCGCCTCTTTCAAGCAAGGAAAAACGGCTCACCAATCCTCTCAGCCGTGGTTCACAAGAGGAGATGGACGCCTCCGCGACCGATATCAAACATTACGCAGCAGCAGAGCAGATGAGTCCGACGGTTGTCAGGGAAGCTAATGAGGCAACCGCTACAAAGCCAGCGTACGAGTCCGATAAAGAAAGTGATCAAGACTTTGAGGATGACAGACTGATCATTGATGACTCAACATCACCATCTCAAGCAGCGACACCCACCCCCGCCTCCGTGCCCGTGGCCTCAGCTTCGCCCTCTCCCGAAAGGGGGACAGCACGCAGGCAAGCATCCAAACGAGCGAAGGCCCCGGCCGACCAGCTCGGGGAGATCTTGCGCATGCAAACGGCCATGTTCAGCTCGGCCAGCGACACGGCCACCAAAAGCCCCGCCTCGTCCCAGGAGACCGTCTCGCCCACCCGGTGTGTGGAACCCCCGCGCCACACCCTCCCGCTGTCCCTAGTGAAACCTTGCGTGACCTCTTACCTGGAGAGAAACCGGCAACAGGGTGGAGAAACCTCAGCTGCTCCTCCGGCGATCCACACAGACTCTCCGGAGAAGAAAAGTTAGTGTCAAGCTGCTCTTTGGCCTTACTTCCGAAGAGTTACTATGTTGTAGGTCACTCGGGCCTTCTAAAAGTCCGAAAATAATCCTATATTGATCCCCAGAGGAGAAAAGTCACGAGTCCTGTCATATATTCATTGGTTATTTTATATACACATTCAGTTACATCATTAAAATGATTGGAAATTGGAAATAAAATGATCGTAAACTTAGACAGTAGACGCGTGCATATGGTTTGGCACCTCCAGATTGTCATATGAATGGACTTCTTTTGGGGGGAGTTCCCCCTAACACACCACAGAATTGTATTTTTTTTTTTCAGTGCATTTCAACGGGTGTTAAGATTTTTGCTGTTAAAGTAAAGGCATTCAACGTGCGAAGGACTCACTATCACACAATTTAGCAATCATGATGGATGAAAATATAGAATTTGTGGAGATTGCAATGTAGTTGCAGTTTGCGCGCACTTTTGCCTTCTTCTCATGTCGCGCGAGCACTGACGGCCAATAACAAGGCACTCTAAAGCAAAGCAAACCCCACACTGGCTGTCATTTCAGAACTTCCCCTCCTCCAACAGTTGCTCTTGTGCCTGCTCTCTGTACAGTATTATGTAATACCGCAACAATATGCACAGTTTGAACATTAACGCTGCTTGGACATTGGAAAATAAAACCTAATTGATTAATGAACAGAAGTTAAATGGAAATTGTCGCTAAAATTTTTAAAACTCAAACAGTTCTAACAGATTGAATTCGGCTGGATTGTACTTAAAATTAAACAACTATTTGGTTCTGGATGGGAAAGGGTTATAAATCACTGTAACATTCTGCACCGGTACTCATACCGCACTTTGTGAGTCACTGGCCTAGTACAATAGATATGGAGTTGTTTATTCTCACTGATACCTGGCTGACCTACATTTTTCACCACCCCATACAGAAATATTGTCCCAGGAGCTGCAGGCCGGCGCTGAGGACGAACAAGACTACGAGTCCCCGGAGAGAGGCAACCTGTTGTACAAGCTCTTCAGTCTCCAAGATGTTCTCCTCATAGTGCGCACCTCAGTCTCCGTCGCCCAATCCAGGAAAATATTCCCAAACCCAAGCCATGTATGCATGTCAAAATATATCTGAACCTCACGTTAAATGTGTTTCAAGCTGATATTTTCTTCTTGTCCTTCAAACCAGGTTGTGCCGGTGCATGTTTTGCCCAAGCTGGAGTACCAGCTGTGTCACGGGGTCGAGTGTCTGAGTAACAGTGAGGCTTGCCAGCTTTGGATGGAAAGGGCACTTCACTCCAGTACAGTTTCCTTCGTAGGTAAAAAAAAAAAAAAAAAGAAATCACTGTAAAATTAAGGCTGGTTTTGTTTCAGCGGAATATTCACTAGTTTTTTTTTCTTCATTTTCTATGCTTAGTGCTGGAAAGTTACATTTATGTGGCTTTAAAGAGAGATTTTATTTTCCCCCCTCAGCAAGTGACCCTCCCACATGAACCAACGGAATAGTATTTAGATGACTCACCTTCTCCTCCCACTGCAGACTAATTCAAGTTTATGCTGTTGCCATAACGACAGCCACAGCCTAAAAGCAACCTCAGACCTCAAGATACAGGGAAGCTTGTACTACTTTAAGTCTTCCTTTTGGGTAGCTGCAAATCATAATTTGGTTTATGTCTTAAAAGCGTTTCACATGTCGTCCTCAGTTGACTTTGCCGGTTCTTTGAGGTCACGGTTATGGTGCCCCATTGCGAAAACATGGGTGTAACCATGGACAACCTGATAACCCATATATTTAGAAAGCCATTTCATATTCCTTCAGTGTCCTCCTGACACGTCAGCGTGTTCAAGCAAAATCGGAAAAAAATAAATACATAAAGGCTTACGTAAGTGGCCCAGCTGATACGAGACTTCCCCATTTTGTGGCCGATGGCTCATCATGTGGTCATCTCCTTTCTGTCTGTTTGTGGCTCAGTTTATGACCGAAGGAGGATTTTTGTTAAAAATGTACAGGAGGTAGGAAAGGAGACGGCATACGCTCAGTCAAATCATGGCAGGCGTTGCACTCCTCTGTCAGCGCTGGCTACGGCGTTGTCGATGGAGGAAAGCTCTTGTTGTCTGCACTCATTAGCTTCCTCTCTATCCCTTTCTTTCGGCGTAGCTCACATCAATCCGCACACTTCTAAAGTAGCGCTGCTCAGAAGGCTGCCTGACGCTTGGAGAGACAACATCTCCTGCGGGTTCAAGTGAGTTGTCGGCTTTGCGAGACGATTCGTGAGATGATTCCACTAGTGATTAAAATGATAACTCACACCCTGCAAGCGGCCAATCGGTAAAGAAAAAAACACAGCGGCCATGTTTTTCATCACCATCACAGCCTTCGTTTTTGTCGGGATGGACTGCCGCATGTCAACGAATCAACAAAATGTCACATGCTTATTTTTGTGCACAGGCCGGTGAAGTCACTCAACATTCTGCACCACCTTTTGAAAAAGCTGACAAAGTAAGTTGCCAACAAAGCAATACATTGTAAAGACAACAAACACTTGAGATTGTTCGTGCTTGGCCCCCTTCCATCTCATTATTTCTCTGCCTTGTGAATCAGTGTAGCATATTTTCATTGGCGTTTTTTTTTTTTTTTCATATCGGCGAGCTCTCAAACAGCCTGTAAAAAAAAAAACCTGCAAGGACAGTAAATGTGATTTCATTTGCAACAAGTGCAAAGCTGATTTGGCCTTTCAACACGATTGCCTTAGCCGTCTTGTCATGGGTAATTCACAATCTGATGATGCCTGAAATAAAATTGCTTTCCAGCCATGCAAATATTCTACCTGAACTTGCTAAACCCAAATATGGAATACAGGATAATAGAAGTCCTATGAACAGTAAAATTAGCATCAACGCTAGTACTTTGACCTCCATGTTGTTAGCGCTAGCTAGCTGGGTGACTGGTCCTCATCAAAAGCCATAATGTTGATTCCTATCCCTCATACAAACTTGTAAAGACAAGTTTAACGACTGTATGCTGAAATAAACCACTTCTCACTTTTTGAAGATGACTGACAGACTCATAACGGAGAGTAATGGACAGTAAAAATGAGAAGTTGATTGGCAAGCGCTCCGGTTATTTTCATTATGCTTATCACAGCCTCTGTGCTTTCAGCTCTAAGCTGTTTAACGTTTGGTAAAATACATTTGTGAATGTCATTCATGTTTAATGAACCGCAAGGCTCATATTGCACTGAGTAGTCAGACACGCTCCCAAGTTCCAAAGTTTGTGATCACACGTTTCCAAATTGCCATCACTGGTAACTCTCTCCGTGGCATCATAAAAGGCCAAAGAAAAAGCAAAACACGTTTGTAGAGCTAATCTTTTACAGTGCACGTCTCAGAATGTGAACTGACACCTGCCATGATGATTGGTCTGAACTTTTTTTTTAATTTTATGGATTTTTTTAAGGCTTTTTTTCAGGCATAGGTCTATGACACTAGTCTGCTTGCATGTGTGTGTAGGAGTTGCACAACTCCCGACTCACAACAGTCGTAGCACCTTCTACTTTTAACATTCCAATCACGGAAAGAAGTCACGCCGAATGCACTGTCTGACGCGCCTTCTGTGACGCCACGTGTGTTTGTAGAATGGACGAAGGGCAATACCTGATCACCCACAAACCAGAGGAGCCTTTTGTGACTTTGTTAAAAGCGTCCGACGGGAAAGCCTGTCGAAGTGCGTACGACTTGCGCCAAGTCCACAACGGTCTCCCCCGGATTCCCACTAATGGCCCCGTGCCCTGGATGCCCGTGGATCCCACTGTGCCGCTGCCGTTCCACAAGAAGCACGGCCGCGTCCCCTGCACTTTTCCCCCGCGATCCACGCCGCAGGTGAAAAATCCAGTCACACTCACTTTCAATGCGTACGAGCACACAAAAGAATCTCAGGAACTAAACCGATGAAATGCTCTCGGCCAAGCGCTTCTGAGACTGGCTGAACCGGTGCCAATGCCGCATGCCTATAAGCGCAGAACGAACAAGCAGGACAGATGAGAGCCTGGCCGTGCGAACTACTCCACTCAGTACAGTTGACTAGTCAACTGGGTGACATCCGTTAATGCGCCTGACTAAAAATCTCCACAGTTAAAATCATCAATTCCGCATTGTTATCCTGTGAGAAGGCAGACTACCCGTGATCGTTTCTCATTAGATCTTTCTGGTTCAGTACGAATCCTAAAACTCAAGATCATCAGTATTTGTGATGTTGTCCTGTGCTTCTTGCGGCAGGCTTCAGTCGATGGAAATGCAGCCAAGGCGGGCAAGCCAGGAGGCAAGAAGAAGAAAAAGAAAAAGAACCGCTCAGCAAATCACAACAAATACACTTCAAAACTCATCAAGCATTCAGTTTAAGATCACGCAGTACGCTTGGATGTGAGACACTCAAGCAAGAGTAATACGTCTGTTTTCTAATGCCGTCATTTTTGTACATGTTCTCAGTTGTCATTTTGTAAACTGGAAGAGCAATAAAGCTGGAAGCATTCAAATCAAATGGATGTGTGGTCACAAGATGAGATCAGTACGGGTGAGAAAGGCTCGACTTCGGCAGAATCAACTTTGCAGTGGCTGCTTGTTCAACTGGGTGGAGTCAGGAGTGGGTGGAAAAAAAAGGGAGGAGGTGAAAGGGGAAGTCCTCTCCCGTGTCAGTCGCAGCGGCGTTAAATCTCCACACCCTTTTCTCCGACACATCAACATAGGGTTCGTCGGTCTTGTGCCAACTTCTACAAGTTAGGTAAGTTTCACTGTTGTTGGGCAAGCTACTGTTGAACTAGGTTGATCGTACAACAATGTTTTAGGATCTGGACAAATAAAAACAAAAAAATAATAGCTGATTCATGGACTATCATGAATTGTTTGTGCAAAAGTGCTTTTGCTCATGTGCGGCTATCGGTGTTTGAGAACAATCTACTCGTCTCACATTGCCTCCACATGTGTGATTTCGTACTGCAGTGCAGGGCGTGCCCACTGGATTTGTGACAATGATTAGCAAGTAGCCTCTAAAATTATAATAATTGCGTGGACTGCGAAACACTGAAGAAAAAAACCACATTGGAACCGAGAGTGGCTCATATATTATTGTGTCTTTTATCCGTCCATTATGGGATGGCAGAGTGCAGCAGAACAATGTGATTGCATCAGTAGACCAAAAAAAAAAAAAAAAATGTCCTACTCTGCCTCAGTGATGGCATTAGACTGATTCATGATCACATGGCGTGTCACTTTTTGCAGGGCAGTGAAAATGGCGATGGTGGCTGAATTTCTGGGGCAACTGGCCCTCAACACTGAGGTCAAGCCAAACAGCTTTTACACTTTTTTTTTTCTAACATGACATGCTTTATATTATTGACATATGTCTTATTTTATTCCACAGTCCCAGGAGCCAAAATACCCGACTGTTCTACCCGCTTTGGACTTTGACCCTGAAAAAGATGCTGCAAGGATAGAGACGGCTATCAAAACCAAAGGCAAGATACACGGCGTACATTCCGATTAAATCCATGCAGCTGAAGTGTCTCTGTCAGGACTCTTGGTATTTGTGAGTCAGCATCCTGGAGTTAAAAAAAAAAAAAAAACACTTTTTGGGAACTCATCCAAGTCTGTGACCTCAGTGGTACCAGAACAGTGTGCAAAACATTCTATGGAAGCTCCTGGTAACAGCAAACAAGGCCTCCATTTTGTTAGGATGGTCATTTGTTTCCGTGAAAGTGTTGATGGTGTACTTTGACTGTTCTAGGAAACAACAGAACAATTGTTTCCGCTCAAATGTACCGACACCTCAAAAGCACTTTGCTTTCTCAAATCATTTGTTTGGGAGAAGAAAAAAAACAAAAAAGCAAAGCTTTTCCATATTTTTTTTTCTAGGCCCATTTGATAGAATGAATAGTCCGCCCAGAGCCGGTAAACGTTGAAATGAGACTTTGACCCTCTCACTTGCATCGCTGCCACCAAACACATCTCAATAATTCACCATTGTATGACATTGGCTACTAAATGCATCCGTTTAAACAGGAAAACGCACCCTAACAAAATCATGACCCGACCTTCAACACCGTAGCGACGGGCATGTTTAGAGAAGTTTTCGTATGACGTCACGCATATCTGTAGCGCTGGTCTTGATTAGGGTTGTCGGTGAGTAGGAGCTGGCGGGGTACACCTTGGATTGGTCGCCAACCAAGTCACAGGCCACATCCAAACGATCCAACAGCTCAAACTAACATTCACACCCATGAGCAATCCTTCACATACGCGTTTGGAATGTGAGAGGAAGCCGGCGTGCGTGCAGAAAACCCGCGCCAGCATGGGAGAACATGCCGCCGTCACACCAAGGAGGGCTGATGTCGAGATTCGAACCCCAAATAATTCAGCGATGTTCTTCTGTTCTACAACCACAAGAAAAAAAAACTTTAAAAACTGAATTTCACTGAGCGCGCTCATCAAAACATCCACCTTTTGTTTTGTATCCTTATTAAAGCGTTTAGTTGTACTTAATGAGGTGTCTTTCCTGGCCTTCAGGTGTGGACGAACAGACCATCATTGACATCCTAACAAAGCGTACATACTCTCAGAGAAGGGAAATTGCATTTGCTTATGAAAGGAGAGCAAAGAAGGTAAAGTGTTTTTTTTGTGAGGGGGGTAAGAAATGATGAACCGTGATACTGTATTGCGCTGGGTCACCTCATTGTGAAGTCGGTTTCTTTTAGGACATGATCTCAGCTTTGAAGGGGGCGTTGTCCGGCTCCGTGGAATCAGTCATCCTTGGCCTGATGAAGAGCACGTCCCAGTATGACGCCTCAGAGATCAGAGGATCCATTAAGGTGCACAACAGGCCACAATATCTTGTCCGGCATGCCAGCAGGCCCATTTCCTGAGTGGCGCTGCCCTCTTGTGGACAAAGTACAGAATGCAGACTTTTACATCCTGACGATCTCGTGATTTTGAAATGTTCCATGTGTCTTTCAGGGCCTTGGCACTGATGAAGAAACGCTCATCGAGATTCTCTGCTCCCGCAGCAAGTCGGAGCTGCAGGAGATCAAGCAAGTTTACAAGGAGTGTGAGTAACAAATCAAAATGAATCGCCCCTTGAAAATATGGGGGGGGCTTGCTTGCTCGCTCGCTCCTCTTGAGATTAGGGGGTGAGTTGGAGCCTCTTTAACTCTAATTATAGCAAAAATGTTCTTAGTTTTCATCTTTGTCAGTTAATTTAATAAATTAGATTTTTTTCAGCATTACTGTTCGGTCGTACAGTCCAGTCAGTCACTTATTGTGATTTTTTTTCCCTCAAGCACTCAACAAATACTCAATTAAAAAATAATTAAATAAAAAAACAGGAACAAACAAAATTCTGCAGTTGCACAAATAAATGGAGTGGCAATGTGACGCATGTTTCTGCATCACCTCCCTTGCAATCTAAAATGCCAAACTTTCCACAGTGTTCAAGAAGGACCTGGATAAAGACGTTGCAGGCGACACTTCCGGAAACTTTGCAAAGCTGCTGCTGGCTCTGGTGCAGGTGCGTTCTGACACGAATGCCAACGATGCGGTTTTGCCTTCATCATTTTGAGACCGAATGTGAACCTTCCTTGTGCGCAGGCCAAGCGAGACGAGCCTTCCACCGTGGTGGACTATGAAAAGATTGATGAAGACGCCAGAGTAAGTTGTGTCCACACTCGGTGACACTAACAGATTCATATTTACAACGTCGTCACATTTCAAAGTTGTAATGTTTGAATTACAGTCGTCATAAAACACGCGCCGCTCCTTTTAAGCACTCCGAAAAAAAATGCCCTTGATTGCTATTTGCTTGGGATTTAACATCAGAGGGACTTAAGAAGGCCATAATTAAAATAAATGCCATTTCCAAATGACTTTGCCAAGGGACGCGGTGTCATTTGTGTTCCTGATCCTTTTCCTACCATCGATTATTTCAAACAGACAAGACTTGGATGATTAAAAAAAAAGAATTGGGAGAACTTACTGACGTCTTTCTGATTCAACACAGAAACTGTACGACGCCGGCGTGAAGACCAAAGGAACGGACGTGGCCACGTGGATCTCCATCATGACTGAGAGGAGCGTCCCTCACCTACAAAGAGGTTCAGCACACGCTGTTGCTGTTTATACGCCCCTTTTTTTTTTTTTTTTTTTTTTTTTTTTTTATGGGAACATAAAGCAGCTCACAATGCGCTCGTGTCCTCGGTAGTGTTTCAGAGGTACAAGAGTTACAGCCCCTACGACATGCAGGAGAGCATCATGAAGGAAGTGAAAGGAGACCTGCAGAGGTCCTTCCTGGTTCTCGGTACTTGAGATTGACATCGAATACATGACTCGCAGTGTTACTTGCATGCGTATTTCTTTCTTTCTTTTCTCTGTTTTCCCCAGTGCAAAGCTTTGAGAACAAACAGCTGTACTTTGCCAACAGACTCCACGACGCTATGAAGGTACCTGTAAATGAATATGCGACGGTAATAATGGAGATGTTCTGAGAAAGTGACACTAGAGGTGTGCACTCATGGCGACGTTAACAAGCACTTTGATGCCAACAGGAATGGATTTTTATCCAGTAAATGTATTGACAGATCATAATACATTTTATTTTTATAGCGCTTTAAAAAAACACTTAATGGCAAAACAAAACAAAACAGAACAACAAATATGTCCAGATGATGCAGTTTGGTCAAACCAGGTCTCGAATTATACATTTTGACAAATGTGCAGAATTGGGACCTGGAAAGCTTCCCACTTTCTATTTGGAGTTGAAGTTTCTCCCAATCTCAGTTGTAGTTCATCACACATATTTTTGATGGGGTTGAGGTCAGGGCTCTTGAGTATTCCACATACACTTCTCCTAAAGAGGATCTTCCACTAACAAGTGTCGCCACGTTGGAAGCATTGAATTGATTAATTAAAGGGTGTGTTCAAATACTTTGGTCCACCCTTTGTATGAGATGTAAGCAGGTTTAAGAGTAAAGGCAGCAAACTTGGCTAAAGATGGTTATACGCAGCGTGCTTTTAAACGCCTGAACCGATTTTAAAATGTGAGATACAACACACAAGACAAAAAAAATGTGTGTTTTACCGCGTACAGCGTACTCGAGGTGACCAACACAACACGTTGCAGTACCAAAACTGACCTCAAATTCAGTCCAGTTATGTGTATATGTACGCTGCTGTAAAGCAGAATTGAGTGCAACCGGAGAAAGTGCTGACATGTTTTTGTTTTTTGTTATCAGAGTAAAGGATGCAAGGAGAAGGTGGTGAGCAGGATCATTGTGTCGCGCTGTGAAGTGGACCTGAAGAAGATCTGCTCAGAGTACAAAGCTCACCACGGCCAATCTCTTCAAAAGACCATTGTGGTGAGTCCTTTTGTGCAGGGCTTCATATGTTGCAATTTAATTCAAGCAGCGTGATTTCAAAGTGGTCTTTTTGTGCTTCGTGTGCAGGAACACACCAAGGGAGACTACCAGAAGGTTCTGCTGGGCCTCTGTGGACCAG